CCAAAGTAAAACCTAGCTATCTAAGCATGGCAGCTAAGGAAAGCAGTAAAACAGAAGGTTCTCGGAGGGAGAAGACTAGATACATGCTTGGTCGCCTTATTCAGAAATCCAATGCGATGCCCCAATTTGCCTCTGTTTTCATTTGTTCTCAGAAACTTGCACCAAGCTCCAGAAAGCTGAAACTTCACCTTGGGAATCTTGTGGGAGGGTGGCCGACCACTTTTGGTTGTTGAAAAACCAGAAAAGTGGTCGGCCAACTACTTTTTTTGGCTGGCCGGCCAGTTATTACTGCTGAATCCCAGTTTTCTGCAACAGAGAGCAAGAAAGGGCATTGTAATGTATTTGCAACATATGTGTGCACAACCACCCTCCCTATCATGTCATGAACTCAAGGGAGTGTAGTTCTCGACCCTCAGGCCACCAATCACGCATTTCAATGCATGATGGCCGAGAGGCGAAGTTGCACAATTCAATATGAAATGAATGCACAAGTAAACACATAAAGCCTAAAACTCTATCATGGATGATCAAGAGCGTTGGCGATCGGGAATTAAGGCACGTTTCATCACTCTAAGTATGAAACGTCCCTCGTTTCCCATGTTTGGTCTAACACCTATTCCAAACACAATGCAAGTAAGCATGGCATACACAATGCGACTCAAGCATGTAAGTATGCAATATGACTTAAGCATGCAAACATGCAATGCAATATGAACAACCTAACAAGGCTAATGGCATGCACAATGCTAAAGCATGTAACAACTAGCATACACAATGCTAAATGCTAAAAACTAGATGACATACTCAATGCAAGGCATTCACAAGGTTCTAAGCATAATGTAATGCATGCATGCACAATGCAATGCAACAAGGGCAACTTATGTAATATACCAAGCATGGTATGCTCAATGTAATATACGTGGTGTACTCAATGGACTTAAACCAAAAGGGTAGACCTCAATCATGCCCAAATCAGTGGCCATTGGTGATGAAATGAAGGCACATAAAGCAAGGCATGCATGCACAATGCATTGGCCATCAAAGAGGCCAAAGAGCACAACTCTCAGGAGTGCTCAATTAGTGACAAAAGTGGAAGTGTAACAACACTAAGTGCACTGAAATGAAGCAAGAAATGATACCAAATCATTCAAACAACATAAGTAAAGCATGCTAGGGTCCTAAGGCATGAAAGCTAGCAAAGAGCAACACAAAGGAGGCATACAATACATGGCACAAATGCATGAACTAAGCATGGACAGAGCTCAAGTAGGTCAAAACAAGGACCGAAACATGCTGAGATAAGGGCCCAAAGGCCTAGTCATGCAAGCATACGAGCTAAGCCATAAGCTAGGCAAACATCGACAATACTTAAAGGCATTCAAAGCATGAATGAAGTAGGAACATAAGCATGCTATAAACTCTGAAATGTCATGTTAGATGATGCCAAATCATGTACACAACACAAATGAAGCATGCAATGGTGCCCAAAGCTTGAGGCAAGCAAGAGCATTTGTACTACAAGTATACAAAACATGAAGCATGTGGTTAAGGCAACCTGAGACAATCCTAGAACATATTAAAATGAGTCTAAAACATGTATGGAAGTAGGCCAAAATATGCTAGCATGAAGGGCATGAAGCATGGTGAATGCAAGGCAAATATGGTGGATTACACTACACCTATTAGGACCAAGCATGGGATGACTTGAGCAACAAAAATCAGAGTTATGTCATGGCATAATAACCCTAAAAAACACATTGAAATGGTGGCTCGCAAGCAAGGGCATGAAGGCATACGCAATGGTTCATGTTAAGACATAAAGGGGCCAACCCTCCAACGCATTGAATAAGTGAAAGATGCAAGTGTATGGCCACACTACATGGACTGAAATCACATAACTAGTGATGCCAAATCACTAAAATAGGCCAAGCAATGCATACTAGTGGGTTCAATACATAAGGCTAACAAGCTAGATTGAACCAAGGCTATACAAACAAGGTCATGGATGACCAATTCAACACAAATCAAACCTTTGACATGATAAAACATGAACAAAGTCTTCTTAGAGCTAAGCCAAAAGCATGCTAAAATGACATGTTACAATATGATGCATGTTAGGCTATTTCATGGGATTGCACTACAAGTGCAAGGAGCATGCAAAGGCTAACCAAACCAAACCTAAACAGAGGTATGACATGGTAAAACATCACCAAAGACATGCTGAAATGGACTCAAACCAAGCTAAAATGGCATGCTACTTCATGAAGCATACAAAGCTAGTTTAAGGGATTTACACTACAAGTGTATTAGGCATGCAAGAGCCAACCAAATCAACCCAAAACAGATCTAAGGCATGTTAAAACAACACTAAAAACCCACTGAGATGGCTACAAAACAAGCTAGAAAGACATGCTCAAACATGAGACATACAAGACTAGATTGTGTGATTTACACTACAAGTGTATTAACCATGCATGGAGTGACCAAGGGAAGTAAAAACAGTGGTATGCCATAGTAAAATAACCACAAATACAAGCTAAGATGTGGTCAACATACACTTAGTAAAGATGCTTAAACATGAGGCATATTAAGGCATGTATTGAAGATGCAAGGAGAGGGGATGGCCCTTCCCTTTTTAGGACCTTAAAACACCATCTCCACCACTGAAATGGATTTTAGTGGTGACAAGGCCAATACAAGGTGGTCCCAAAGCTCACAAAAAAGGCTAAAAAATAAGGACAAACAAGGCCTAAGAGGGGGTAAACAACCCCAAACACAAAAGTGATCTTAAACAAACTTTTTAAGTAGCATGTATTGAAGATGCAAGGAGAGGGGATGGCCCTTCCCTTTTTAGGACCTTAAAACACCATCTCCACCACTGAAATGGATTTTAGTGGTGACAAGGCCAATACAAGGTGGTCCCAAAGCTCACAAAAAAGGCTAAAAAATAAGGACAAACAAGGCCTAACAGGGGGTAAACAACCCCAAACACAAAAGTGATTTTAAACAAACTTTTTAAGTATGCAAAAATAGAACTTTTATTAGTTATAAGTTAAGCTTAAAACAGCATGCAAGATAGGCTAAAAGCTTAAGCAAGAAAGGGGGATTTAAAAGTCAAAAGCTCACCCTTGAAGACCCTCTTTACAACTGCAACTCCAGCAGCCTTTTTGAACTTAAACCAGTCCAAGAACACCAAAAACAACCTCAAGGAGCCTCAGCAACACAAGCAAGGTGTTTAAGTGTGTGTTTGTGTGTTAAACTAAGATAAACTACACTTTTGAGCACAAAAATGAAGCAAACAAGGCAATATAGATACAACACTATATTTATCCTCTTTCCTCAGATTTTCTGAACCTAGAGGAGGGAGGGGGAGCTTTCCTCTTATAGAGAAGGAAAGCCAAAGCTTCTAAGAGAAGCTAAGCACCAAGCAAATCCCTCTATACACGTGTATGGAGGATGGGTCTAATGTCAGCTGGAGGAAAATATCTCTAAAAAGGTTCCAAAAAGCAGCCGACCACTCCTGCTAGTTTAAGTGGTCGGCTGACCACTTTAGGTGGTCAACCAGAGCAAAAACTGGTCGGCCATAGGTGGGAGAGGTCAACACACTAAATGCAAGGTGGGAGAGGTCAACACACTAAATGCAAGGTGGTGGTGTGGTGGTCGACCAGAAAAGACGGTCCAAAGACTAAGAAAGCCAGTTATCTGACAAGAAAACTAGCTGAAAAAAGGAAAAGTGGTCTCCAAGGAGAAATAATGATATCCCACCCTTGTACCACCTTCCAAACAAGGAAAACAAGGTTTGTACCAAAAAAAAACCAAAACGGATGCAGGACGAGAAATCGGGAGGCGAAACACGCGGCCAAAAGCCCCGAAAACTAGCTGATGAGCATTAAAAATGGTATGCAACCACAAAAGTGGTCTCCTGAACCACAGTGTTCCTCTAGGAAGAGGCAACAAGGTGTGGTTCAAAAACCATGCCAAACGGAGAATGTTAAGTGGTCCCGAGACAAGACGCGCAGCCAAAGGCTCCAAAAATCGGAAACTAGTCTCCAAACGGGAAAAGTGGCCTACGACCATGAAAAGTAGTCTATGATCACAGAGAGATGGTCTACAAGACCACTCCCTCCCTTCGCGAAGGGAAAACAAGACTTGGTCCGCAAACTGAGCCAAAACACAAAGAGTTCCGAGGCCAGGAGGTAAGGCTCTCAGCCAAAACTCCGAAACCTCAGAACGAGCACAACAAGCACCATCACCGAGCGCTCAATCGATGACGTCTGAGTCTTAAGGTCGGTCAAAAATGGGGTGTCTACACCAGGCCCAGAGTTGATGGCCTAAGATTCTGTTTCATCAGCCAACTACCGTGCCTCCTGAGGAGGTTTCTTTTGAGAGGTCCATGTCAAGGCTTTAGTTAATTTTGTTTTGTATATCTGTACTGGGCTAAGTCCCCTTTTAGTTTCTTGTTTATGAATGGACGACGCATAAATAATGTAATTATGACGTTATATATATATACACAAGTTTGTTTTGAAGATCTCTGTCTCATATATATTAACACAGCTCTATGGACATTGTATATTCTCTATTTTTTTGCTTTCGCAGCCCCTTGTTATATGTTGTTCTGTCAAGAGGCCTCTAGTAATCCAAAGATTATTGGCCGGATACAATGCTAAACTTATAGGGGCGAGTTTGGGTCGTGACAGAGTGGTATCAGAGCATGTGTAATACCACACACGAGTCCATGCGAGCTATAGGATGTCCTAGAAAAGAATTAGGGACATTTCATCTGCATGTGTGAGTGTATGCTAATCTTTATAAATGTGAAAACTAAATTTGAACCTAAACAAATGAAATATAAAGAAGTGGACAAGATTATTCCTATGTTTATTATTACCTTGTCTCTCTATAGCAACATGGAGAATGCAAGGGGAAATGATGCAAGTGAATCTTCTGAGGCCCGAATGAACAGAATAGAATAGATGCTTACAGCCACGACTAAAGTAATGACACAACAACTGAGGCAACAACCATTACCTCCTCCGTCTTCGCTGGTGCAAGTTGAACCGGACAACAATGAAATAATCAACCTCACTCAAAAGTTCATGAAGATGAAACTGCCAACTTTCTTTGGTGGTACTGAACCATTAAAGACTGAAACATGGTTGTTGGAAATCGAGAAACTATTCGAAGTGTTTCCCTGTTCAGAAATACAGAAAGTCCTTTTGGCCACCTACACCCTGAAAGATGAAGCCCGAAAATGGTGGTTATTGATCCGAAATAGCAATGGAAGTATGGCATGGGCTCAATTTAATGCGATCTTCTATGACAAGTATTTTCCTGAGTATTTTCGGGATCGAAAAGTTTCTGAATTTCAAGAATTAAAGCAAGACAGGATGTCTATAGCCGAGTATAAGGCTAAGTTTACTGAGTTGGCTAGATTTTCCCCTCATATGGTTGATACAGATTATAAGAAGGCCCAGAAATTCGAAGGAGGCTTAGACTTGGATGTGTATGATCGAGTTAGCGTATTAAAATTGCCTACCTATGTGGGGGTACTTGATAGGGCACTGATGGCAAAGGCCATACTAGCAGCAAAGAAACAAGTTACAATTCCAATAACTGAATGGAGGAGAAAAAGGGACAGATTCAATTTCAAGAAAGGCCGATCGTTTCCGAAGAAGCAAAATACTAGGTCTTCAAGTAGTTCAAGTCAAAGTAGTGGGTCTATGCCAGTTTGTCTCGAATGTGGAAGGAAGCATAAGGGCAATGTCACCATGCATCTGGCGCTTGTTTCCGATGCTGCAAGATAGGCCACATGATTAGGGTTGTCCAATGAGACTCAACACGACTACTCGCCTAGTGACAAGTTCAGCCGAGTCTGCTCTTGCACCAAGGACCAATGTGAGAGCCAATACTGGGGGAGAAACTTTGAGACAAGGCCGAGTCTTTGCATTAGTGTCTGGGGATGAACAGAATACTGAATCAGTGGTGTCAGGTATAATCTCTATCTGTGCTCAAAATGCCTATGTGCTGATTGATTCTGGTTCCATGCATTCATTTGTATCGCATGCTTTTTCTCAGAAATTAACTAGACCGTTAGAACCTATGAACTGTTTACTGTCTGTATCTACACCGTCTGGGGGTTCTATGATATGTGCTTATGTTTAGCCAGCATGTGATATTATGATTGGTGATATGACATTGTACGTTGATTTATTACCCTTAAACATTGATTATTTTGACTATATTCTAAGTATGGATTAATTAACTAAATACTGTGCCACCATCGGCTGTGTGAGTAAATCTGTTGTATTTAGACCACTTGGTATGCTTGAGTTTGTTTTTATTGGAAATGGGGTAGTTCCTCCACCATATTTGATCTTAATTATGAAAGCTAGGAAATTGTTAAGGAAAGGGTGTCGGGGCTACTTGTGTTGTGTATTGACTGTATCCCCTGACAGTGCTAATGTGGAAACTATTCTTGTTGTTTGTGAATTTCTCGATGTGTTTCCGAATGAATTGCCTGGGGAGTTAATTGATAAGGAAATTGAGTTCACCATTGATGTGGTACCCGGGACACAACCAATTTCTAAAACCCCATACAGAATGCCCACATTTGAATTGAAAGAATTGTAATCTCAACTTCAGGAACTGTTAGACAAAAAGTTTATCCGCCTGAGCACTTCACCTTGGGGTGCCCAGTGCTTTTTGTTAAGAAGAAAGATGGGTCTTTATGACTATGTATAGATTACAGAGAATTAAATAAAGTAACTATGAAGAATAAATACCCACTACCCTGAATAGATGGCCTGTTTGACCAACTTCAAGGAGCACGAATGTTCTCTAAAATATATCTTAGATCCGAATATCACCAGCTAAAGAAGAAAGCAAAAGACATTGAGAAAATCGCTTTCTGAACTAGATACGGACATTATGAATTCTTAATCATGCCATTTGGGGTAACTAATGCACCTGCAGCATTCATGGACTTAATGAACAGAGTATTCAAACAATTCCTTGATGAGTTTATTGTTGTGTTCATCGATGATTTATTGATTTATTCTAAAAGCAGGGAGGAACATGAAAATCATCTGAGGATTGCTTTGCAGACCCTAAGGAAAAAGAAGTTATATGCAAAATTTTCCAAATGTGAATTTTAGATTGACAGTGTGGCATTTCTAGGGCATGTAATCAACAAGAATGGTATCTCTGTTGACCCACAGAAAATTGAAGCTATTGTGGTCTAGCCTAGGCTGACAAATGTATCAGAAGTTTGAAGTTTTCTAGGACTTGTAGGCTATTATCATAGATTTGTAAAAGATTTTTCCAAATTTTCTTTGCCACTTACTCAATTGACACAGAAAGCTACACCATTTGATTGGACTGATCAAAGAGAAATTGCTTTCCAAGAGTTAAAGACTAGGTTAGTAACTGCACCAATTTTGACTTTGCCTAATGGTACTGATGGGTTCTAAATTTACAGTGATACCTCCTACAGAGGTTTGGGGTGTGTGTTGATGCAAAATGGAAAGGTAATTGCTTACGCCTCTCAATAACTTTGTCCTCATGAAAAGAATTACCCGACTCATGATCTTGAACTGGCAGTTATGGTGTTTGCTTTGAAAATTTAGCGTCATTATCTGTACAAAATAACTTGTGAGGTGTATACTGACCATAAAAGCTTGAAATACTTCTTTACCCAAAAAGAATTGAACATGATATAGAGGAGATGGTTAGAGTTAATCAAAGACTATAATTTGTAACTTTTGTATCATCCGGGGAAAGCGAATACTGTGGCGGATGCTTTGAGCCAAAAGTCAATTGGAAATTTGTCATGCTTGCTTACCAGTCAGAAAGAATTACTATGTGACTTGGAAAAGAATGAAATTGAAGTTATATCGCAAGAATAATGTGGGATCTTAGCTGCCATTTCCACTCAACCTGCAATCATTGAAGAAATCAAAGAGAAGCAATTTGAAGATGAGTTCCTGAAAAAGATTGTAGATGAAATTGACCCAAAACCAAGGTCTGGGTTTGTACTTGAGAACAATGTGTTAAAATTTTAGAATCGTCTTTGTGTGCCGGATTGTTCTGATTTAAAGAAACACATCATGACTGAAGCTTACAACTCCAAGTTTGCCAAGCATCCGAGGAATACAAAAATGTATTATGACTTGAAACAAAATTTCTAATGGCCTGGGATGAAAAAGTGTATTGCAGATTTTGTGGCAAGATGTCTACAATGCCAACAAGTTAAAGCCGAACATCAATGACCCGCTGGTTTGCTATAGTCGCTTCTAATACCGGAATGGAAGTGGGAACATATTACTATGGACTTCATTGTGGGGTTGTCTCGCTCCCCTCGAGGTATGGATTCTATTTGGGTCATTGTTGATCGTTTAACTAAGTCTGCCCATTTTCTGCCTATCAAAACTTTCTATAATGCGGATAAGTTAGTTAACATTTATGTGAGTGAGATTGCGAGATTACATGGTATGCCTATATCCATTGTATCTGACAGAGATTCGAAGTTCATGTCAAGGATTTGGCAGAGTTTGCAACAGGCTCTGGGAACTGAACTGCGGATGAGTAGTGCTTACCATCCACAGACAGACGGTCAAACCGAAAGAACCAATCAGGCTTTGGAAGATATGCTACGGATGTGTGTGTTGGACTTCCAAGGGAATTCAGAGACTTACCTTCCTTTAGCCGAGTTTGTATACAATAACAGCTATCATTCAAGTATTGAAATAACTCCTTATGAAGCTCTGTATAGAAGAAAATGTCATTCTCCTATCGGTTGAGATGAAATAGGTGACAGACCATTGTTGGGACCAATACTTGTGTGAGAAACAATAGAAAATGTGAAATTGATTCAACAATGCTTGAAAACTGCACAAAGTCACCAAAAGAGTTATGCGGATGTTTGAAGAAGAGACAGGGAATATGAAGTCGGGGATCACATATTTATCAAAGTGACTCCAATGAAAGGACAAATACGGTTTGGTGTTAAGGGCAAGTTAGCACCAAGATATGTTGGGCCATATGAGGTTCTGGAGAAAATCAACTCGGTGATGTATCGAGTAGCCTTACTGCTAGTTATAGAGCATATGCATAATGTCTTTCATGTCTTAATGTTAGGGGATTACTTACGAGATCTGCACCATGTTATCGAGCTAACACATGTGGTTTTAAAGGATGACTACACGTACGAAGAAAGGCCAATACAAATTATAAACCGCCGAATTAAAAAGCTAAGGAACAAGGAAATACCGTTGGTAAAAGTTGATTGGAAAAACCACAGAGGGGCCTATGCAACTTGGGAAACGGAGGAAGATATGATAAGAAGATACCTTGAATTGTTTCCTTTGAATCCAATGTTCTTCCAAAATGAAGGTAACTCGAGTTTAGAGGACCAAACTCTTTAAGAGGGAAAAACTGTAACAACCCTGACCCATGATTAACGTTAATCCATGCTTAATTATTCCTAATAAGTAATTAAAGCAAAATTTTGCATCATTTGTTGCCTTATTTGTATTTATATCTGTTTAACGTAGAAAGATCTGTTCATGTTTCCATTTCAGTTTACGAATTGAAGGCCTTATCGGTATCCGATTCAGAAATTGACTTAATTTATGTGTTATTTGAGATTATTAGAATTTTATGATATGTTTAATTAAAATTTAATTTGGAATGATTTAATTAGAATAATTAGTGTCTAATTAATTAGCTTAATCAATAACTTAATTAAGCCACTAATTAAGCCTATATAAGGTTCATGTGAACTCATTAGTTCACTACACACTCTCATAACACCCCACTTTAGAGAGAGAAACATAAGAAAGAGTGACAGAAGGAACGAATTTGGAATCAAAGCTAGGAGAAGGGGAGTTGCTAAGAATTGAAGGTATTGGACTTGGAAACTAAGGAATTAAGCCTCTAGCACACATCTTGGGAAGCCTAGGTAAGAATTCAACCCTTGAATTGTACAATTATGATGTGTAAGACATGAACTCTAAAGAATTAAGTAGGTTAATACAAGAATTGAGTTAGAATTAAAGAGAAATTAACCATATCATGCATGTGTACACACCCCATTTTTGATCGTCCTCAAGACTTAGCTGTCATCGTTTGTACACTCGATGATTATCCTTGTTTGTGTTCGTTTTGAGCGCCCGAAGTCCTCGGCAGAGCGCCTTGTCTTTGAGCCTCTAAACTTATCTATTTTGTGCACATTTTTAGACCAAGAGCTTGTTGCCTCTTGCCTGGAAGAGAGGGTGACCTGTCAGCCAACCCTAGACCCAGTCGGCCACAAGTTATGCCTGTCGGCCACCAGTGGTGGCCGACGGCCATTGGTCTCTTTTTTTAGATATTTGTTTTCCAACTGTGCCAGCTGTTGCTCGCTGAGCTACATCTTCATACACGTGTATGGTAGGATGAATACAAGCTCAAACCTTGATTTTCTATATATAGGGGGTGTCCTCCCCCGTTTGGAGAGGTTGGACATTTTAGACCAAAATTCTCCCACTCTCTATAGAATTCTCTCTCTCTCTTCTTATTTTGTGCCTTGTTGTTAGTTTTCTCTATACTTTTGCATATCAACCCTTAACCAAACTTAACCACCTTGGAGCTGAGGTCCCTTGGAGCTTTGTTTGAGCCTTGGAAGGAGATTTGAGCTTGAGTTTGTGGCTGAATTTGCACTTACCTCATTTAAGCTTATTGTGCATACTTGCTTTGCCATCCTTTCTAACTATTTTAAGGCTGTTTTTGAAGTATAAAAAAACTCTGTTTTTGAGGCATAAAAATGGTA